CTTTTTTTTTTTTAATTGCATGAACAAAACCCAGTATCTCTTAGGTGTCAGCCCTTAGTCTTTATAACTAAAACATGATGTCATCGATGATAGGTCATTTTATCTTCCAATTTTTAGAACAGAATCCAGTTTTGCTGAGTCTAAACTGTGGTATCAGCCCGTTGTTACTAAATCTTCATCAGCATTTAAATCTTGATGACTCTTTATTGTTACAGAACTCAAACCAAACCCACTGCATAAAATGCTATTATCTCTGAACTGTGAAGTTCTGTGAAGTTCTAAGGGCTGTTTCTGATAAATGCAATGAATTATAATCCAGTTCTGTGCAAATCACACATCATATTACACTTACAGCTGTGAGAAAGTGATTCTGGTTAATCATTAATTGCATTGAAAAACAATGTAAAACAAACAAAAACAGAAATGGATTTTCCCCCTGAAATGCTCCCGTGGACAATGTCCATAAAACTCATAATGATCAGATATATACGGACTAGTTAATATGGTAAGCATTCCCCCATGACTACACAGGATGTTGCTGTTAGAGAATTGTGATTCAGCATCAAAGTAATYGCTGATGAGAGAACATTTATTACATCTCTTGTAATGTTTTCTAGAAGTCAATTGTGATATAAAAGGTATAATCTTTCTCTTCTAGGAAGTTTTGACACAAATGTTTACTAGGTTTAAGGAAGTTCATATGAATCATTTGCAATTATGCAAGACCATGAACTATCTGGGTTACAGGAATAAGTTGAACAGAAGAGTTACTRGACAGGAAGGATGGTTAGATGAATGATGTCATATGATCCTCTAAAAAGCTTTCAAATGTGGGTATAAGCATGAAGTCCATAAATCTAATGACAATGTATTTCTGACAGCTTGACCACATCACACTTTCCTTGATATTATGCTGTGCAAGAATACTTGTTTCTACAATGCCTTTCTATTGACAGGTAGATGAATTTGTTTTTAGGTACTGAGATGACTTTAWATTATTCTTGTATTGATAACAAGCAAACAAACTACACAGGAGACTTGTTAGATTCTTAATTTCTTTTTTAATCAGTAAAGCACATGGAATACTTTTACAAGAAAAAGAAAATGCTAYGCAGAATGTTGTGGTTTTCTTAAAAAGTACATAAATCCCCTTTTATTCCTGCTAAGTGGTATAGTAACAAGCAGTACTTTCTGATTATTTTATCTGCTTTTATTTTTCAGTGGGCCATCATCTATACAACAGGCAATTAAAGAAATGAACCAATTCGATTATATGGAATTCATTAGATAGGTATGACCCAAAGTCCAGCCTCTTGGTGCCAGGTGAGATGAAAACCCTTGGCTTCAGTTTAAGGTAGATTCCCCTGACTCAAGCCCTGAGGAAGAGGAGCATCATGCTCCAAATGACTCAGCACAGGATATGTCCTAGAGGGCTCAGGTGAGGGGTCAGGGTAGGTGGGTTGTGTCTGTAGTAATGGCTCATAACAATGACTTAAGACTGAAACCAAACAAGCAAAGGAACTCCCCAGGGAGCCCAAGCAGCTGCCCAGGGAGACTGCTGTGATGCAGATGTTGTTTCCTAAGTCTTCTAAAATCRTGTATGGGATCAGCAGTCTCTAGAACAACCTGACACTGAAGCAGGAGCATGCAGAGAATTTCTAACTTGTCAATTCCCACTAAGTTGCCTGCGTCAGTCCTGAAGTTAGGAACTAAGCTGGGTGGGCCAGAATCCTTTTGTTGCTTTATCTCTGGCTACACACCCAATTTATTATTAATTTTTACATACTATKGCTTCAATTAAAAATATTTATCTTATTATTTATTAAAATCACATTACAACCCTAATGTGTCTGTTTTTAGGAATAAAAATGATTACATGCTGTAAAATTAGGTTCTGGTACTTTTAATGCCTGCCAAATTGTTTAAGAGATGTTCCTGATATTTACAATATTGCTTTCAGTAGGTTTTTCTGTTGTATATCATGAAAAACAGCAAAAAACTGCTCTTCCAGTGCTGTGTGGAAAGGCCAGTATGGAKAAAAATAGCGAGTTTACTAATTGCTAAGAATCGTGTAAGAGTAATGTGCTATAGTGCTATCCCCTTGACATACTTGTAGGTATGTATGCATACTTATCTTTTAAATATYATAATTGAAAACATGATAATAGGACAAATGTGAAAAGGAAGAAAGCGTCATGACAAAGAGGAAAGCAGTGCGGTTATATRAAGCTTATTACTATTTTTACAGTGCAAAGAAGGCCTAAAATGAAACACTGATCTTAAACATACTCTACATTGATAAATACTACTGATTTATTTTTATCTTTATCTAGGGAAATAGACTGTTCTTTTGACTTATATATTTTTCAGTTAGGCTGATGCTTTAAAATAAGATATGAAATGTCACAAGAAAAATGAAAAGCTCTGGTTAACAGCTTATCATAACTAAATAGTGAAGCACTTAAAAGTGTGCTGCATAGGAATTACATGTGTCTTACACAACTTGTGAATAATTCTATGAAGCCAGGAAAAATGACCTCAYTGTTAACAAACTGAATGAATAATAATAAATACAAGTACTTCCTCTGCTACCATAGACTTTCTAAGTGTGCATAGGTGAGTCACATTCCTTCATAATTCTTTTCCTTTACAAAATAGTAAGAAGTTAGTAACACTGTTATGTCTTTTCAGAGATTCTGTAAGAAAATAAATTACAATTCTGAGGCATTCAAATGCAATGGTGACCAGTGCCATTTAAATCTTTCAAACAAATGGTCAAAATAATAYATTTTCTTAAAGTAAAACCTGCATCTTACTTAGGACTGAAAACACCGTTGTACTAATTTATCTTCACTCTTCAACAAATAGATTTTGRCTTCCTTCACAATGAATGAAGCAGGGGTTCTATCCACAATTCCTCTGCATCACTTTTTTTGCTTCCACTCATGTTTTCTGTGCTCAGACCCCCTTCAGGCAGTGTGTGCTTCCAGCTGTCCAGAGGAGCACAGCAACCATGTCCACTGTCTCTGCGGCTCTCCCAGGCTCTGCAAAGCAAAGCCACCCACAGTGTTCCCACGGAGGGCTCTGCCCTCTCCTCTGAGTCACACTGCTACCTTCAGCACACTGCTGCTATGAAATAACCACCTTTCCCACAGACACTAGGAGAAATTGCAAACACTTCCAAACTCAGTCCTAAGTCAGCCTTTCCCAGTAACGACTTTCTCTAGTTTAGGGACTAAATAGAAGGGACTGAAGAGTGACAGTGTCTTTCAAGCAATGAAGCCCCTTCTGTCACGCTTTCAGAATTTTACTTGCCAGCATGTTCAACCCAATCTATATTCTTGTCTTGAAAAGTAAGTCTTTATAAAATTTATTACTCTTTACTAAGCTATTACTATAAAGACACTGATAAGCACAAACATTTTGGAAATTTCCTTTTTTTTCTTTTTTCTTTTTTTTTTTTTTTTTTTTNTTTTTTTTTTTTTTTTTTTTTTTTTTTTCCTGGCTTCTTTGGCAAGGCAAAACTTTTCTGCCAACAAGAATGTCTTACAGAACTTAAAAACCTCCTCAGCATTTTCTGATCTACTGGCAATCAATACTGGGTCATGCTGAGGCAGCATCACACTTTGCCAGCATGCCTCCTTTTTTTCTCCTGTTAATTTTGTRTGGTTCCAAGTAAAACAGGAAACTCTCAAGGTCACGGCACAGCCATGAGCCCCCAGGAGAGATCCTCATGGRAGGAGGACAAGTGCACGAAAGAAAGGAAGAAACTGAATGATCTAAACAGAAAGAAAAAAATCTTAAAGAAACCTTTTGCTATCTACATTTCAGTGTATTCTCATATAAACTTTTAATCTTTGACACAAAATAAACATCATTTGTTAAGTGCTTATTTAGTATGCAAATTCTTCATCACTTCTTAAACTCATAAGCAATAAAGATGTGCTGTGACTTATAATAGTAGAAGCTTGCCAGTGCTGAAATTCCTATCTGTGCTCTTTTGATAATTATAATATTGTACACTTTAAACTCATTGATTTAAATAACTACACAAGAAATTTACAGTGACAGTTTATGAAGCACCCTGCTGGCTACTCCAAGATATACAGCAAGAGTCAAACTTTCAGGATGCCTCTAAACATTTTCTGCATAAATATGGACATTTCCATTTGCAGACACAATTATGCCCCTGCTTGTTTGAGTACAGTGTGCAATCAGATGGGCCTGAATTATTTGCRCATTTTTAGGCCTGCCAAGAATATATTTTAAGTTCGAAGAGTTATGTGATTTAATGGATCAACCCTTTATGGTCCACTTGACCATAARATCTCTTTATTGGAGTATCCTGGGTTCAGCTGGACATGCTAAAATGAATAGAAAYTAAAATCCACGGTATTTCAGTAATTTTCATCCAATATTCCGGATGTGCTTKTGTCTTCTGAGTTGCCATTGCATCAGCTATAACACAGCATTTGGTGCATTGTCAAGGTTTACGTGTTCTGCCTTGTGAATTGRGAATCTGATTCCACTGAACATACATGAGGAAGGAATTTTGAAAATTATGCTTCTTGCTTTTGAAAACTGTAAGGTGATAAAAAAGACTGGGATTGCTACATACAAGCTGACTCGTGTACTTGGGAATGAAAAATGGTTCCACATACATAGGTATATAAAAATATGATTACAAACTTTCTGTATTAAAAATGTTAGAATCTTTGAACTCAGTTACTCTCCAAAAATGAGTAATGCTTAAAAGTATAGTCTTGAAGATCACAAACGCCGCAAGGTTGTTTATTCTTTTTTTTCTTCATTTCTTTGCATGTGTGCTTGATTTGCTTCTTCTTTTTCTGTTTCTTGGGTTTTTTAAATGCACCAGCACTTAGAAAGTATTGTAAYCACTGCATCTAAGTTCATAATTTTACAGTAACATTTTGGAGGCAGACCTGAGCAAAAATTTCTGCTTTTTTGGTTTTTTTTTTTTCATTTCTCCATTTTCTTCTTTAGTGGCCTTTTGAAAAATCCAGCCTGCAGAAAAGATCCATTTTCTTCTTTAGTGGCCTTTTGAAAAATCCAGCCTGCAGAAAAGAAAAAAGTGGCTAAGAACTTCTCAAAGCGTACAACCCATACTAGTAACAGTCATGTGCTGGTTCTTACTACTATATTAATATTTACATTACTGGACAAGGTTAATTAATATTTTATCACTYAACTAGGACACTGTTTAGGACACTGTTTTTCCTGGAATGGAAAAGCTAGGTACAGTTAATATATAGTAGAGTAACTGCTGATTCATTGTTTTGCTCACATATTGTCAAAGGTTAAAATGCTTAATAATAACATTTGTTACTCAATTGAATAAATAATATTTCATATTATATTATCAAAAATTTAAAGAGATTATGAATGTTGAAATTTATAAACTGCAACCTTTTAACACAATTACGAACAAAATATTTTGCCTTGAGAAGAGTGCCCACTTGTGGCAAGACTTAAACCTCAGGCCTAGCATTCCTTGCACGCAGAGAAAATGCAGTTGTCAAAGGTCGCAGCCAAAGCTGATAGAAAAATCCCTTAATAAAGCCTTACTCATATTAAAATATTGCCCTGTTTTTCTTTCCATAAGATAATGGCAATACCGATTTTAATCTGATAGCACCACTTGTTACACATCCAAAAAATGCAGTATAATTAGCTATTTTGTAATTTCTACAAGGTGTCACTACTGTTACCACTTATTTTCACTACTGCTTACTAGATAACATTTTTGTCTATGAGGTTCTAATTATGAGACAAAAATGACAGAGAATTTAAGCATATATTTACTTTCGTGAAGACAAGGACATACAGCTTACCTTCCACAGAGCAAATATAAGCAGTGCAAGAATCAAGAGCCCGGCAAAGATACTCAAGAGGATAACCCATAATGGGACTGTACCCGGTGGGTGCTCTTTGGAAATCTTAATCATGGTCTGCAAAGTGATCAGAATGTAAGCAATAAATAATTTGTCCTTCTAAAATATCAAAACAGCAGCATGATTGATCAGTACACAACGATCTTCCAGGGTAATTTTTTTCAAGTAATTTTCCCAGAGATTTTCATTTTAACTACAGAAACTTGTAGGAAGGAATTAAGAAAATTATCTCCAGCATGACAGGCTGTGTTTATACAGTATTTTGCACATGATCAATGCATTCCTTCATGAGGGTGGCCCTGCTACAAGACAGTGGTCATTGTTATAAAGGACACAGGACCAAAACTATGAGTAGTGGAAGAATAAACGAAGTAGTTTCTTCAGTACACTCTTCCTCACTCAGTGCCTACCTCCTTGAAAGATGGRGGTAAGCAAAAGTGTAAAAGGGTGTGTAGATACTAATTTGATTTTAAACTAGGCATCTGTGGTGTAAACTAAACAGAAATAAGTAATGTTCACAGTTAAAAAAATGTGACCATTTCTTACTAAAGAATTTATTAGAGATGAACTTTATAGTTCAAAAAAGCATTGAAGAGCTGAACCTCAAGCATTCTCCAAAAATGGTAAATCTGAAATTCCTTTTCTCATTATCTGCAAACCACTCAGCTGTGTTTTTTACTCCTGTACTGAATTTTAATCTATCACTTAAAAGAAATTTCTAGATAAAATACCAGCTAACAGTGGACCTCAGATTTTTGCATTTTCAAAAATATTTTGTGCAAGATGTTATTCACACAGAATATTACTTTCCTACATTTTGGAGTAGAAACAACAAGAATACATAATAAGATTTTTGCTTGAAAAAATGGACATTGTAGTTAATAATCTCCTGCATGTACAAGTTATCACAAAAGACCAATGTCTAAACACTATAAGTGCTTTGAATTAGGAGTATTAAAAAGATAAATAATACCTCTAACAAAATTTAAGACATTTCTCTTTATATCTGACACCACTACTATCACGTTATATACTTCCATATCTAATAAAATTATAGTGAACTTCTGAAAAATAAAAGATCCTGTTTCAAATACATATCCTGGATAATGAAGTGGAAGGAAAAAATAAATAAGGAAATAATRATGAAAATAAAAATAAGACCAATTTTAAATGACTCATCACAATTTTCAAATACTATTGACTCCTTGAAAGAAATTAAATTATATTTTTAATTTGCATAGCTGCACGAAGTATTTATATTGAAGCATGCAGAAAAAATTCATATAGTACTTATCCCTACCCAGGTACATTTGTGGGTACTGAGCTTTTGGTGTTTATTTTCTGACTAATTCTGACATTTCTACTGCAATATGAAATCACTTCTGTTTAGAGTAGGATAATGCATTACAACAGGTAACAATCAGTTAATTAGTAATGAATGAAAATGAATTATTCCACAGCACAATAAATTCTGTGAAGAATAAATGCATCAATTATCATATCCTTACCTCCAGTTTTTGATGGTCATTTCTCAAAATCAGTGATGAGTTCTCACTCCTAAGCAACGCTTTCACAACGAGGGTTAAGCTATGAATACTGGCCTGAAAGAATAATCACTATGGTTTACAGTCAGGTATTTTGAAGCAGAAAGCTTTGCATCAATGACAAGGAGGAAAGAAAACCCTAATGCTTTGGAAGATGCTGAAAAACGTGAAAGCCAGGGAAACTGCTCAAGTTTATCAACTTCAGCACACACATCAGTGTTTGCAAGACAGCAATACTGCTTTAGAAGGGTAGATTACAGAGATTTCAAAGAAATTAAATCCTGGAATACTACTATCTCTCCTCTGCTCTTCTGGATCAAAAAAAAATCCTTTCTAGGGTTGAGAAATCTTTCCAGATAAAGACTTACTTTAAAAATATGTGCTTCTATGTACCCCTCTTTATATCTGCTGTATTAGACTTTATTAGATGCATAAACAGCTATTAAAAAAGCTGTATTATGCATCTAATAAAGTATTAGACTTTATTAGATGCATAAACAGCTATTAAACATCAATACAGAATAAGTAAGGGGCGTCTTCTTACAATGGTTTTTAATTCCTCCTAAGTTATAACTATTTTCAGGATAAGAAAGTGTGTGTGACACAGTTTAAAGGAAACTTTAAAATTGCAAAAGAAACTGTTTCTTTTATCTAGTATCTTTATCTAGAAAAGATACTAGAGGGGACACTTAAGAAAATGAAAGACACAATTTTAATAGACATTAGAAACATTGGCTTAAGTTTCTCAAACCCAAAAATATTCTGAATACAAAGAGGATTTACTTACTTTTATGATGGTAGGTTTCCATACTCTTAATGAAACATTGACTTGATATACGTCAGATGGGATCAGGGCACAATTAATAGAGGCACAGCTGTATGTATCACAGTTCTGTTTTAAAGGGACAAGCATGAGGTAAAAGGAAAAGACTTTTCACATCATTAAAATAAAAACATGTAAACTATTATATGTACCGATCACTTGCGATGACACTAATATTGAAGAGGTATTAATTACTGTTGCTTTTTATGTAAAAATGACACTGCAGTATATAAAACAGTATATATATAAAATATATATACTGCAGTATATATAAAACAATATATATACTGCAGTATATATCATATTCATGCTGTGGTAGAACAGACTCAGTTTTTGCAGGCTGGCAAGCCCTGAGGAATCTCTGTCACTGCAGCTACGGAGCAAAAGTCATCGCAGAGCTCCAAAAGGAGGCACAGCTTGTAAAAGCCAGTGTTTTCCTACCAACAAAGCTATGGCTTTTCTGCAGTGTTTTTCAAATCTTGGGACACTTGAATCTCTCAACCAGGGCAATACATGTGTGTGAAAATTCAAGTACCTTTACTTCTTAGTATCATTTCCTAGATGGAGTGCAGCAGGATTATGTTATAAAAAGTTAGAAATACTTGCTTTAGCTTAGACCTTTATCACCTCTGTGAAGGACAGTGATAAGCATGGCAAAATACTCTTCCCATGATACAGTTCAGTTTGCATCAGAAACTGCACTTGCACCTTTGGGCTGAGGATGCTTTCCACTTGACGTGCTAACATAACTACAGCAGCAAAATTAATTTGCAACTCTTTCATCTAAATGTGGAGGGCTAGTGCTTTCCAAATGGGATTATCAGTTAGAGTTGTGTAGAAAATCTATCCAGTCACAGTTCTAGCATTTGAATGTATTTTCCACTGGATATATAAAAATGTTGAAAAAGAGATAAGAAGCATTTAAAATAATTACAGTGGGGACAAAGATGGCAACAATTTGTTTAGTTGTCAAATGTGCTATTGCTATTTATATATTTTTTAAATTAAAGAAGTTCCAAATCATCTAAATTCAGTTCCACATAAAGTTTTGCAGCCAAATAAAAACTATAGTCTAGTCTACATAAAAAAAAATTTCTAAGCTATTAAAACAAAGTGAATTTCCAAAACAGTTTGAAAGCAGCTTTYATGCATCTTTTTCAGAAATACTCAGCTCCAAGATATGTATTAGTATCTGGGATGAATATATACATACTATAAGTAGGCTTACCATAATTGTATCCCTTGTAGGTTCTTTTATTTTTGACAACACAAATGGTTTCCCAGCGCCAATCTTTAAGGGATCTACAGGGTAACTTGTTTGGCAGATTGCATTCTGTGTGCAGAAATACAAATAATATTCTTATTGCCGAATATTCTGGATATGCAATCTATTACAAAAAATGACCAGGAAACAAGCCAACATTAATAATATTCAATATTTAATATTTAATATTTAATAACAACTATAATGTTTACTAACCACTAAATGCAATAAAATAGCATATTGCAAGAGTGCAGAATAGGAAATTCAGACGGTGCATGTATTGAGGTATTATTATTCAAACAGCAAATGCAGTATTTATGAGATAATTTAATCTAAACTCCAAGCAGCTACTTAAACATCTGTAGAAGCAACAAGGGCTTCCTGCAAAATGACCACTTTGTGAACCAGCAAGRGCTGGCAATTAAATGAGCTAAACAACTTTCACATGGGAATCCACAGAGGTTCTGCCCAAGCAAGCAGACAGGCAGGTTAAGTGCAGGATGCAGAATCCTGAGTTGCAGTGTCCAGAGTGGGGGAGCAGATGCTGGAGCACTGCTGGATCTCTGCGGGATCCAGGCAGCATGGAAATCCTTTGGTGACTTCAGTGTGGGGGAATCAGTTTTTTGCAGTCAGGTTGTTGACTTTCATATTGCCAGCATAGAAAGGATTACAAATCCCCGGCAGTGCATTTTGGCACACTCCTGTCACTAGAATGTAGTTAGCAGGACATGAAATTTGCCTTGGGAAAACAAAGATTTACTGAGTTTATGTGCAAACTTGTGTCAAATGGGATGACAGACTAGGAATGAAAAGAATGGAAGAAGGAAATCAAGAACAGACCCAACTTTTTTTTGTATTCTAAATATGATTTATTTGTTTAGTCTTTGTTTCGTTTTAAAGGAAACCTTGAACTTCCATTCATATATTTTGGTTTATTTTTCAGTTGGGCAACACTGCAAAACTAAGTGAAATTATTTGCAAGGAGGTGCACACATGTATGCCTCTGAGTGAAACAAAAAACAAAGGAGGTTTAGGTCATCACTTAGTGATAGCTGGGTTTTTCAGACATGTTATTTATATACCTTCAAGCTGTAATATCAGCAGTTCTAGGATAATGGAATTTGTTGGAATTGTGATCTCTGCCTGTTGCACTAGAGGAGTGAAATGGTAAGACTCAAATGAAGGCTGTGGTGAAGTGCATTCAAAACACACGACCTACCACCCCCTTCAGGATGTCTCAGTGCCCCAGAGAAGGAAGAAGACTGATAGTGCTGGAGAGCAGACATGCAGGAAAGTTAATTTCAGTACCCAAGAGGACTGACAGGAGATTGGGCTCTACATGCACACAGCAGGATTCAAGCATTTGCAATAAGCGCTGCTGATAATGGAGAGAATATGAGGCTCATGTTGAGTCTGGACATCTCAGCACCTGCAATATAACTAACTAGACTTGTTATAACACAGTTATTGTTCAACACATTTTAAATCTGATTGTTTCCTGTTATGAAAAYTTGTACCTCTGTCTTCCTATGCACATACTCTTAAAACAACAGCATCTTGTTATTTAGACTAAAAGCAATGTATAATCTCAAATATTTGCAATTTGCAGTTCTTTACAACATAAATTTTGAATGTAAATTGATCATAAAAATACAAATTYTTATCTTACCTGGGAATGTGACAATGCAGTAAGGTACAGAAGAGTGTTCTTGGCAGCAGTTATGTTGGGATATAAGATCTGCAGTGTGAGGTTTGGCATTGGAAAGTGTTCACCTTTTTCGATCTGTAAAAAAAGAAAAATGTTTTGACTAGTACTTTCCTCATTTTGTCAGTACTTGTGATTTTTTTCTTTTCTGGTGTTTTAATTTTCTTCTTTCAATTTTTACACTTCCACAGTCAGTTATGCAGAAAGTGCTTTAACATGGGAGAGAAGCCCCTGTATCCTTGGTGTCTCCAACTGGTTCCTCCTCAGGTGTGCTTAGGTAACTGCTCTCCAGCTCACCTGTTCCTCTCTCCTGTTTTCCTTGAAAAGACAACGGGACATATCTTTTAGCAGCATCTCTTTTTGGAGCCTGCTGTGGCTGAGGATTGGGTAAACACCTAGGTGGAATTGCTGGCAGGGGATATTGTCTCTGAAGAGGACAAATTTAATAAATGTTCAAGAACCTTTTAAATGTCTTGCTCCTGGCTACTTATTTGTGTTTAGCTGCTTGCAGAGATGAGTTTTACTTTACAAAACCATAAACAGTATGCTCTGCAATCCATCAGCTTTTTGACTCAGGAGGCAAAGATTTTCAAATTAGATGAATAAGGCCTTGAATGCTCACAGCAGACAAAATAAATGGTAGCTGAGTAAAACACTTTAGTGGCCTAAAAATAGGAATAAAACCCTTTGTCACTGCTATTTAGTTAGAGCAAGAATTTTCCGATATCCAATTTTTTAAGAAGCTGAGTCAGAGAATTTTACACTTGTTACATGGGACCCTTGTTCAGTTTTGGATTTGAACTGGGAAACAGGATGCTCCCAAGACGATTAAATGCAGTCCTACAACTTTAGGTTGGACTTT